TGAAATGATATTTATGTTTTTTGAAAAAGTTTTAATTATGAAGACGTACATCTCGTTCAGAATTCTCAAATGGAATATCAAGTTTTTTCATGCCCCTCAGAATAGAAGCCATTCCCTGTACTATATTGTTGTAGATTACCGTTTTTTGCTGATTTATTTCATCATCAGTGAACCCATTAGTGTGCAGTAATCTGAATGATATCATTTCATTTAAAGAGGGCATTCAACATTCGCAGAGATTTTTGAAATTGTCATAATGATTCAGGAATGGAAAAACAATAATCTGAATTTTGCATTTTATTATAAAAAAAGCTTTTTCTTTGTTCATTGAGACTTTTACTTTTTGTTATATTTGGACCTTGCTTTGAATTTAAAACTATAATTATGATTAGAAAATCTAAGTTACTTCATTTGTTTGAAACTATTTTACAATTCTTGCAAAGTAAAGTTAAATGTATCATCAAAGTTATTAATGTGATCATTAAAGTTATTAATCATTAAAGTCATTAAAGTTATTTTAACATTAACTTTCAAAGTTAATGTTAAAATTTTTTTCTGACCAATATCTCATATTCTTGTTGAGTAGTTGAGAACGAGATTTATAGTAACAAATATCGTAAAATATGCCATCTCCTCACTATTAATGTTCATGAACTCTGTTTGTCACAAAAGCGCCACAACAAAAAGTCGCTCAGTTTACTTTTTTTCTATCCTCAACAGACGGCGGTATGTTTCACTAATTTGCTAGCATTTAATTTTTTTCTTGAAAAATTTAAAAAAATAAAAAATGGAAAGAGAGAAAGAGAGAGAAAGAGAGAGAGGTAACAAAAATGATTCTATACAATTACAGTGTCATATTGAGCAATTGATGCTGATTGCAGTGATTTGCTTTCAGGCGTTGACTTTGGTAATGACATTTTTTTCACGGATAAATGAGCAGGCGTACGTAAATACTGCTTAAAATAACTCTGAAAAAAATTTGAAATTAAAAAAGTATGACGAAATTTTAGTCAAATTTAAATTCAAATTAAATAAAATTATTGAAATTCTGTTTACCTGCTCTGCATCAAAATCAATTTTTATTGGAGGCAGTGAATATTTTGGATGGAGATAATCATTTAATGGTGGTGATCGAACATTATACGATGAATATCTCCTATCCAGCTTTTCTGTTGATTCAAAAATTCGATGCGCAAATTCTACTGATAATCTAAAATAATATTAAAATTTCATAAAAAAATATGAAACAAAAATTCATAATCTAAATTAAATTAATGTATATTTAATTGAAATTGATTAGAATTGTTGAAACTTGAAGCATCAGATTAATAAATGAAAAACTAACGAGCTAGAAATAGTAGATTCAACATCGCCATATTTAGTACTCCGTCTCGGTGATTTCACGGCACAAAATGGAATTTCCTTTCTCGGATGAAACATCATTGGTATGAGAGTACACCAACCCATGAAGAAGACGATCAATAAAACGGTGTAAATGAAGAGAACGGATATCGTGATTAAAAGCAGCATACAAACGTTGATAATACTAATGACATCCCTGCCAGCCAAACCATATGCTTTCTCCTTTCTTTCTTATCTTATCTTTTCCTTCTCACTCTAAAATAAATTGTATTTTTTGTAGTCATTTACGTTATCACAATCATTGATCAATCAATTAACAGCATTTAAATTATTAAAGGATACATATCAATATGCTAACATCATTAATAAGTTTAATAAAATGAAAATTAAATTAGTAATTTTAAGCAAAAATTAGATTTAATAAAGAATAGATAAATGTGAACAAATTTCATCAAACTGAATAGTGCAATCATTAAAAAGCAAATGCATGAAAGATAATTATCTCATTCAATCCATAATGAGTAAGACAATTAATTTATTTGTAGCAATATATTTAATATCTCTCTCTCTCTCTCTCTCTCATTTATTGTAATATTTGCTGTTTCCAGCGATTTATAAATATTTGTAATTTCAAATAATAATTCATAAAAACAAATGAAAGAAAAATGATTTCATTTCAAAAATATGCCTAATAAAATGAATTAAGACAGATGAAAATGCTAAGCAGTTGAACAGGAAATTAGAACTGAAATCCATTGGAGAAATAGTAAAGTCAATTGTTCGATAAGATAACCTCAACTAAAGTAAAAATGTAGATTAAATTCTTTTAACTTGATTATTACACTAATTTTTTGTTTTAATTAAAAAATTTTTTTCAGCCAAAAAAGCGAATGTGATTGATAGCGGTTGTGGCGTTAGGTGTCACCATGAAAAATAGAAGGTTATTAATTAGAAGTTTACTTTAACGATGTTTATTTTAGCATAATGTTACATTTTAGAATGCATTATTGACAAAGTGAGGTGAAACTCACATTTTATTTATTTCATGAAAAATAAATGAATGATTATTGTTCAAGTTTACTTTGGAAAATATTCAATTTAATATCAGCGCAAATGTTTCCCATTAAATAAAATCATTTTAACAATTCATGAAATGAAAAATTTCCATGGTTTCCTCATCTCATCATTTTTTTTTTAGATCGAACGGACGATGTCATTATTTTGATAAATTTTGTGCCAAGAGGATCTGAGATCGGTGTACAATGAAAATATGAAGAATGACGGAATAAAAGAAAGGAAACGAAGACTGCAAGAGTGAAGAGAAAAATTTATTATCGTAACTGCTGGATCATAGCAACACTTCACCACAATTTCAATTTTCTAAAGGGAATTAAATTTTTAATTTTCATTTAGAGTAAATAAACATCTCCTGTTATTTGATTTTCTATTATTTATAGTTCATTTTGCTCGTCGACAATATGTGTATGTATACATAAATTATTTAAAATAAACGAAATAAATTAACTACGTACAAAATAGATAAAGCCAATGATGGTTGTTAATCTATATCACCCTTTGAAGGAAAAAAAAAAGATAAAGGAGAATTATTTTTAATTTTCATTTGGAGTGAATATTTTTATAAACAAAACATCTTGTATTTGACCTTCTATTATCTCAGAGTATAAAGTTATTTCGCTCGTCGGCAATATATACTTAATTATTTAAAATAAACGAAATAATATTAATTATT